GATAATCATTATTGCACACAATAAGATGTAAAACTTACATAAGACGATTTAAATGAAAGTGGATATTTACGGCGGATGGAGGCACGTACTTATTGAGAAACGTGTGCTTGTTAATTAAGATGTTATTACAATGATGTATGTAACACAGGAGGTGTTTTATCGTATTTTCAATTCTCTCATTATTGTCTTGTTAAGCTTCATGATCACCACTGTCTATTCCTATTAAAGATTCCGTTTGCTCTGCTTCAAGATCTGGGATCCTGAAAATATTGATTTCTCATTTCATAGTTGGTCTATGTCTGTGGCTGTGTGTGTGCGTGTGTGTATGTGTAGTACAGTTAATGTTACGATATTACAACTCTAGTCAATTTATATTGTTATTTTGATTTATGTAATATTTATATCATATATGTAATGCACGCTTTACCTTGTAGATCTGTTGTTTTTCCTGCATATCCAGATGAAAAACCTTTTAATTAAATCCATAACAGGATCCCAATTGTCATAATAAGATAAAAGAGATACTGTCAGGAATGCTAAAAGCATTGGAATACTTCCCAAATAGAAAATACAAGGGTACTCAACTTTTTTCAAGAGGACATCGGCTACCATTGACATGGGCATTGTTAAGCTTACAGCCATTGTTGCTACGAGAGATGATGTCAAAAAGCAACCCCTGTAGATACAATAGAATGCAATCACGTTACATAAAAGTACAAAAGTTGGTATTATTATTACCGTATGTATGACAACACGTTGAATTGTATTGAAATTACCATAGCCAAAGAACTTGGCTCAGAACAGTACCAATTAGACCGTTTATAATTAGGAATGTCCACTGATGGCTATTGGGCCATTCAAACTCTTCCCAATGACCATAATGAAGAATGAAGAATAAAGGCCACAGAAGTGTTAAATTGAATATTCCCACAAAGCCAAAAAACATTGGTATATCCATCTTGTCTTCGTGATCTACTTTTCTTTTTAAAAATACAATGTATGCAGCATAGAAAAAAGCACTGACTAGAGCTAATATTATGCCCGTTGACATATTATTACTTTCTATAGTTAAATCCGAAATACCGACCAGTACCTGCAAGTAAAGAAAATGTTTTTCAACATATATCACATGAAATCTAACGCAAGCATATCTTTTATTCTCTGGATTTAAAAGGAAATATGAAACGTTTATGTTCTTCCTAAGAATTATTTTGTTTAATTGTATTTGCATGAGTAAACTTGCAACTTACCAGTCCGAAGATACTAACTATCACAGCAGCTAATTTGGACAGCGTAAATTTGTCTCCTCCATTACTGGGAAAAGAAGCAGCAAGAAATAAAGTGAATAAACTGGACGTCGAAGACAAAACAGTAACAATTCTAGCTGAAGTTTGCTCCAATGACATCTGGTATGTATAATTTGCCATGAACCACTAGAAGACAATATTGATAGCACATAATGCCGAGAGAACAATGCGTTTGATTGAATTTCACATTGTTACTTACAAATAAGCAAAACATAAGAGCTATCTTAGCCACTTTTTGTACAGAGAATTTGTTAGCTTGTCGTCTTGCTTGTTCTCCAGCTCTGACACTGGCCTGATAACTAAGTCGTGCCAATAAAGCCTCGGTAGCATCACTTTCGGACATATGGCGCACTTCTGCTAATTTGCTAAATCGTACAGAGCGAATAGACGAATCGTCACTTTCTGTTCCTGATGAACGATCACAATGATCCGGCGTTTTTATTGGAACAAACGTTGGATCACTCTATGATAAAACGAGTAGTCGTTATTTGATTAATAGCTGAGCAGTAAAATCTTCTATTTCGCATATGTGACGCGCATACATGGAAAAAGTCTAGTAATAATTATGAAATATTAAGTGAAATAATTACAATCAAATCTTCGGTTAATATAACTAAAAATAATTTTACTTTTCTAAATATTTAGTAAAGTAAAATAATTTTTAATTAATTAAATATTTAATCGGAATTATATTGCTCAACATTTGGAAGCTAGCTACTACCAGACTTTTTTTTCAATATATAGAATGAACCTAGTTTTCCCTGTGTCTATAGAATTTTTTAACGTTTTTCCAAAGCAATTTATTTAAAAAAGCATCTAGATTAGATTCGACATATAATAGATCGCACATATTTTATTTTGCATTATCATTAATGATAAAAATATTACGACACAGATTTCTCAATTCTAATTTCTCTCACATATACTTACTAGACTTGTATTAGCCTCCGAATAAAAGTTATCATCTTCAACATTAGGATCTATAAACTAAAAGAAAGTAAAATATATCAGTATCTGTGAGATGTACCAGTAGAAAGAAAAAAAAGAATAGATATGTGTATAAGCAATATCAATAAATACCATATATGTTGCAGGCTTATTACATTGTTCCCGCCAAGGTGGCCAAAAGCACAAGCCAAGCAAGTAAAATGTAAACATAGATGTTCTTACATATGTACTAAAAAATGGCCTTTCAAATGTTTCATCCCTGTAGATGTACTGAAAAGATATATATCATGTTACTGTGATTTCTATTATAATTGTATATACAAGAAAAACTTTCAAATATATCTAATTATCACGTTGATTACGTCAACAATTGCAAATAACAAATGTTGGTACATAAGCTAGTTGTAATATTTATAGAGAAGGCAAGTTTGGTTTACGGCAAGTTTGATCTTACTTTGGTAAGCTCAGAACTGGAAACCCAAATTATATCGACCAGCAATAGAACTAAAAGTCCTAGTACAAGTCTTTGAGATTTATTCATCATCGCCGCGAGTTTATGAGGATCCTCCGCCATCCCCTGTTGCCTACGCTGGCGTAATTCCACAGAACAGCTCATCTTGGTTTCTTTTCTTTACCACATTGCATTTATGCGTTTGTTCCTGTAAAGCCATGCAATATTGCGGTGTCACGAGACGGATAAAACTGGTGTCAATAGAATAGAAACCTTAGTTTAGAGGAAGGTACAACAATTAGTTGTACATTTCTCTCTCTCTCTCTTTCTCTTGATAGTTGGAAAGCTTTGTAATTACCAGGTGGAAGAGAAAAACTGATCTTTCATGCGTTATGCGTCCTCAAGCTCGTTTTAGTATAAGAATTCAGGTAGTAAGAATGCACGAGCGCAAGATCAAACTCACGTAAGCAGGTGTCAAGAGCGATAAGCGAGACTTGTAATTCTTTCTCAACGTCACACTGACAAGACACCTAACCTAACCGGCTGGTTGCGGCCTCGGCCTCAGCCGACGTTGATTCCGCATCACATCGCTTTTTTGCTAATAACTGGCTAATAATTGAGCTTCGATCGTATCGGTTTTCTCACGATTTTGTGCACCTTCCAAGAACAGAAATATCACGCTTGTTGATCGCGTAACGAAGCAAATCCGTGCTCCACTGCACGTCATAAAGCGTCTGGCCTCGTCCACCAGCCGCTCACATTTTCCTTGGGTCCGTTAGGGTTGGAGCTAGAGCGCTGGTGATAATGGGCAAAATTGGCAATAACAACATTAATAATACAGGTGCGTCATCGTTATCGCATCTGATAACATCCACACATATCGGTATAATATCCTCTTTATCTCTCCTAGCTCTTTCTCTTTCGCCGTTTTATTTTCCATTATTTTCAACGTATATTTGGCGCGCACTGCGATGCACATGCACTCGTAAATGCGTACGGCCAATCGCGG